CATGATCACCTCAGCAGTTCAACAAACCAACCACTACCAGCCTACTGTATCTGACTTCTACGATCCTGATGACGTCTTGCCTCACGACAGTCCCCAGATGAATTCTTTCAGACCCAAGCTGGAGCCTTCCCCCAGCCCGCCACCTCAGATCCCTCCAGTTGCGGTACGTCCACGTCTGAGGTCTCTGTTCGAGAACTGAAATTCTGACCAGAACCCAATTATAGGCCTCCCACAAACAGGGGGATGCGGTCTTGATCAATTTCTTGAGCAATGGCAAGCGCCCTGATATCGCCCGCGCCATCGCTGTCCACTCTGACCATTCCGACGCCGCATCTGGCGCTGAGGACGACCCATCCATCTCCTCCAGTCCCTCCACGTCTTCTGCATCATGCAAGTCTCCCCCTTTCAACCTCGCCGCCGTCGCCGCTACGGCGGCCTCATCATCGCCTTCTGAACCCGGTGCAATCAATCTCATCAACCTTGCTGCGGGCGCCCTAGCCTTCACCACTGGGAACGGTCCAGACCCCCTGAGAAAATCTACAACAGACTCGACACCTGTCGAATCTGTGTCGTAGCGACACGATGAGCTCTGCAGCCCCTCAACATCACGAGCTCGCTTCAATCGCCCCCTCGGTGCTACATCATCCGAGCACCTCTACCCTTCAGAAGGGTTCTATACCGCTACGCCACCTGGCCACTCGATGCGTCATGCTGAAGTTATCTCGCCCATGTCGCCACTACAGCCCGCTCTTGGGGGACTGCCTCCGCTGCAAATCGATTCACCGAAATCAGATAGTCCTGGCCACGGTTCCTTGCCCTCTATCAGACAACATTTCGGCGATCTAGCTTTGTCCCCTGACAAAGAGTTGCCGGGGTCTTTACACTCTGCCGTCGCCGCGTACCCTCGACCCTCGCCGGCAAATGTACCACGCATGTCTTCGATACCATCACTCTCTGGACGCCACCCGTCGCCGCCCACATCGCCCAATGATGTTTATGGTCGACACGATCTGCCTTCGCCTGCTCAATCTCTCATCTCACCCGGTCACTATTATCAGACACACAATGGGCCGCCTCGAATGGGAAACGACAAATCTGGCTGTTTCGTTGACACCAATGACCAGCCATCACTACATGGGTCGACGGTGACAATGCTCGACCGCATGAGCATCGACGGTCTCACGAATCCACAACCAGGCGGCTTCACTTGCGAATTCGCAGGTTGCACAGCACCCCCCTTCCAGACGCAGTACCTTCTGAACTCTCATGCCAACGTACACTCGTCTGCCCGACCACACTACTGTGCAGTTCCAGGATGCCCGCGTAGTGAAGGCGGCAAAGGCTTCAAAAGGAAAAACGAGATGATCCGACACGGCCTAGTCCACGAATCACCAGGATATGTTTGCCCGTTCTGTCCCGATAGAGAGCACAAGTATCCGCGCCCAGACAACCTTCAGAGGTACGTAGTCGATCATCAGAAGTGTTCATCTATCACATAGCAAGAGTTCAGTAGCTCTTTTTCTCAGTAAGATGCTGACAATGATGCACAATCAGGCATGTTCGGGTTCATCACGTGGGCACTGATAAGGATGATCCGCTGCTCAGAGAGGTCTTGTCACAGAGGCCAGATGGTCCTAATCGTGGGAGGCGGCGGAGAGGTGGTACCACATGATGCGATGCAGGCATGCGACGCGACCATTTCTTCCCTTTCTTCTTCCACTTCACTTTGGTCATGCTCATCTTCCGAGTACATATTTGGCGTATTTTATGTCTCCGGCCTCGACCGGTCCTCTGGGGGAGCTGCCGAAACCGGAATGATGTACATATGATTGCTGAAGTGATGAGGGGCTGGCTGACAATTGCTGGTTCCAGATCAATCAGTAGGGAATGCGGTACTGGGTTTCTTCTTGTAGGCTTGCGTGTTCGAAACAAGGATGTCCTTTCTCAGGGTATCGGACAGCGGACGACATGTCATGTTTCGAGGGCCTGTCTTTTTTTTCTTGTTTCGCATCTGGTCTCATGAGGGAAAGCGTCTTGAGTTCTGGCGTTGGGGTGAAGGGGTGATGTGGCCGATGTGATGTTATGGCGTCGACTTCGTCTTACCTAAGATGGCTTGGTCAGCTATTCCATGGTGTCTCTTCTGTGCGGTGAGAATGGTGGTTTTGTTTTATGTCATCAGAACAACGGGAATCTTGACGTCTTGCCTCTCTGTTTGCTGCTGCTTGTCGCGTCTCGGTTACCAAGCGTATGCTGCATGACCTCAATGGCCTCGATGGCTCATCGAGCACGTTTGACGCAAAGGCAAAAGACTTCGTCTACAATCATGGGGCCCGCAGTTGCTAAAGAACCTCGAATCGAAAGCACCAGTGAGACGAGCACTTGGCGAATGCAAATAATTACTCGGTCAATCCAGATCCTCCCACGGGCGGTAGCGAATGAGGTTATCGCCAAGAATCTCAACCTCGATGCCACTCCATGCACGATGACTTCCTAGCTGCTCTATCACAATCCACAAACCCTCGTGCCGGACCCGATCAGGCTCGACATCGAATTCGGGCGTCCTCACGGCCGTAGTCGGATCTCGAAACTCCCCTTCGCAGGAAATGGCATGAATAGACGCATTCGGCCCACGGCCATACATGACTACTATGCGAATGGCAGCATGAGAAATGTGTTGCCCATTCTCGTCCGACAGCACGGGGCAGCGGGCTGACGCGTATGCTCTCGTAAGGCGAGGCGCCGTGATGCTGGCTCGCTTGCGCTCTTCGCCTGCAGCAAATTCGAGTGTCGGCAGCCGAGTGCATAGCAGTCCTGCTCCGTCCCCTGGAACAGGACGCACGGCACATTCGATCATGGTCCCGATTCGTATCGCAAAATCGGACAGTTGTCCTGGCTCGAAAGTTGAGCAGACAATGACGTAGGTACCGGCTTCGAGGTTTGCAACGTGGGAATGCGCGCTGCCGCAACGATAGTCTCCAGAGCTTGCAACAACATCCTTTCTCCCAATTGAAGATACACGTTTGCCCGATGACCACACGAGGTCTGTGTGGACGGCGATATCACGACTACCAGTCGTTAGCAGGATCGAAAGTGGCGTTGACCGTGACACGGTGATGCTAAACTGCGGGTTTGCCGAGTAAGTAGGAGAAGAAGCGTTTCCGCCCGCCGACCTCCGCGTCCATGAGCTGGACAGCTCTCGATAGTGACGCATAACCTCTTCGGCCGGTTCTATCTTGAGATTTGTCGCCGAGAAGAAAGAGAATGTGCAAGAATACTCGTTCAAGGGCAGCTCTTCGTGCGCCATGACAACAGTGTACGTTTTCCCTGCATCAAGGGCAAACTTGGCCAGGGTCTGGGGGGAGTCGACAAAGGGGCCACGGTATGATGCTCCTCCGATCTCCTGCACTCGTTTACCTCCATTGTCGAATATCGAAATGCTGGTGTAGCCAAGACGTCTAGCAACGGAGGCTAGCGACCCTGACCTTTGATTCCGCGCAATGCTTAGTTCGGCGTCTGCAAAATGTCTACTGAGAAGAATCCAGACCGTGTCACCAGTGCTTGAACATATTGAGTACTGTGGGTTGTGCGCAAATGTCCCACTCCAGCTCATGGCTGGAACGTGCCACGTGAAGTGGTGGTCCTGACGACGGCCGAAGCAGCTCGGGTTCCAGTTCAGATACATGGACTCGAAATTTTGGGCAACTTCCTCAAGAGATATCCAAAACGTACCGCGTGACGGCGCAGTGTTTGTCATTTCAAGATGTGCGCCCCCGGCACTCCCGACCGATGAAGGATTCGCAGTAGAACGCGAGTGTTCTCTGAGTGCGGCTCCTTTCCAGACGAGGCCGTCGCACCACGGATTCTTGACCAAGAGGCGTCGAGCGCCGTTCACTTCTTCGAGCCTCAACACAGCGTAATCGTGCTCTCCAACGAGTCCCAGAGCATCCTCTTCGGTGTGTGTCAGGCGTCCCGTACCCAGCGTAATAATGGAGGTCTCTTTCTTGATGACACTGCAGCATGCGACTCC